GCAATGCAATGAGAGGGTGTTGCAACTGAAAGAATATTATTTTATATCGGAGTGCGTGACGACTCACAGCCTGAGATGTTTTTGCTTTCTGTCTCTCTGGTGCAAGCCAGCACTCCAGTTCATGCCACTTCACCCTTCTGTTTGGCGGATGCCACTGGCCTAACTAGCCATTCTGACAACCCTACTGACATTAGATACAACTGTTTTCATAGCCCCACAGAGCCCAAAAGGACGACCTTACTCTCGCTCAGCTATAGATAGAATAGTTCCGATCAACCTGGATTGTATTCTTCTTTCTAATTGACAACAGATTTCCGGTTGGTCCCAAATTAGTCAAACCAAATATTGACTTTAAAAAATTAAACATCTTGCGCACTAACTCCCTGAGTTCTGGAAATACACTACCAGGTATGCTAATTATCTGCCAAACAATCGATGTGTAGATAAACCAGCAACTGAAACGTAGCTATACAGCGAAATCATGGTGCAGAGCTTCATCTCCTGGTTCACGGCTATACTGCAATTATAAGGATCCCAAAAAGAGCAGGGAACCACTCTCTGTATCATGAGCTCGATTGAATCCGTCTAGCTCAAATTATCGTTAATGCTGCTGTAGAGACTATGGGTTGCTTGCGGACCCTCACCACGCTCCTTTGAAAACGGCCACTTGTTGCTTCCGGCTTTCTAACGGATAGTCAAGCCAACTACAAATCTACCTATCGCGGCCAACTTAAATGTCCATAGGCTAATAAATAATCAACGGTGTGTCTCATCTACAGATACTCCTCTCTCTTCTGGAGGATTCTGACCGGCTCTCCGAAATTGCACCTGGCAGGACCTGAGTCGAACTCTGCTGACCTCGCTCGCCAGGAACACATATTGAATTCGACAATATCAGCACTTTTTGGTAATTTTGAGACAGGACTGGTAGTTGTTTCTGTTTTCTGACCTTGAAAGAAAAATGAGACTCCTAACCCGTCTGCAACACCTATACAGGTATCCTGACCACAAGAGGGTTAGTGTGAACGTTTGTTCTCACCTATGTACCACCTAATGTCGGATCCTTTTGGAGTGTTGCAACACTTTCCCCGGAGACAAGACTTAAATGAAGAAAGTGGTCGTCGAGGCTGAAAAATGCGGCGAGCATGAAAGGAGCGATTTTCCTATTGTGGAACTTCATACTGTAGTCTCGGTGACATGCAAGCCAGTCACCATAAGCCCACTGAATCCCGGTAACCGGGACTCACGGTGATCTTTATTAGCCATCGGAGCTTTATACTCAAATCACTGAAAGCCACACCGGAGGAGAGTGCTGGTGCTTCACTACCGTACAACCCTATCAATTTTAATAAGGCTTTTCATAGGAAAAAGATAGATCAAGAGGGAGCACCTAGGGCCAGTCTACCAAAAACATGCGAGGTTCTTGTACCTTCAACATTCAGTCAGGCAGTCCGGATGGAAACTGGTAGCATGGAATCCACTGGCATCCGTTAGCCGGCATACCGTTCAGTGCCTGCAGCCGAACACGGAGGGTTACATCGACCCCATTCGGGAAAGCGAAAAGTACCAAAAGTGTCCAAACTTTTCGTAACATTCTCCATAAACTGCTGTCACGTCAAACTTTGTCCATCTCTAGGTTTCCGCCGCTCTGAATGAAGCAAGGAAAACAGGCGGCAACTTGGCCTACGTAACAAATGTCCCAACCACTACAGCTAGCAGTGATGGACGCATTCTCTAAGTGAATTACTTCCTGCCTCATAAAAGACCCGTTTCTTGATCACCTCGTTTTGAATTCACTGGATGCAATTAATTCCAGCTATAGTTCTGATACATAGGTGGTCGAAGATCTGAAGATGTCTCATTCTCCACCTGAATTGGGCCAAGTCCCAAAGTCGTATAACAATACAGTCCGTACTGTAGTCTGACACACACATCCTTTGATACCCAATGATGTTCTTTTTTGGTTCTACAAATAGCACAAATCCGTAAACGCGATTCTGGAGCTTGGGATTCGTGCGTTCAATCCCTCTTTAATGCCAGCGTCAGCGCGAGTCGAATTTCTGAAATAACCAACTTAAATGTCTCTCTTTGAGTTCTCAGACGAATGTTCAAAATGTATGTGCCACAGCGCGACTTCACTTCATGGGCGCGAAGCGCATGCCAATGGACTCGGTGGCCTACATATTCTACGTTGAGAAGTTTCTCTCTGGAGGGACCTGATAACCGGGGTTTCGCGGGCCTTCCAGTGTTCGTCAGCAATGGCGGAGACCACTGTCTATAGGAAGGCTTTCGGAGAACCCCTCTCATACTCATGCACAATCAAATATGCGAATACAAATAGCGCGCGATATTCACGAATTTCTGGGGCATACCCTGTTGTGCAAGCTTTTTAAAAAAAGCTGATCAGTGGACAGAATCGAAAGCACTCTTGACGGTGAAGATACATTGGATTTAGAAAACCTGTGCAGCCCAAATGCATCTGCTGTGTACAGAAGCATTAAGAATGAGACACCTATACCATACTCTCTGTCCTCGGGCTGGGCCAGCCCCTCTCCCCGCAGCCGAGCGGGTCAAACTGCTGGTTAAATGAGTGAGTAGAGTCCCCAATTAAGCCCAGCTAATAGCTACCTTATGGATTGTACCTTTGAGTTAAAGGCCCCAGATAGGACTACTCAAAACATCGCCTCTGCAGCCTTGGTAACCGAGAGGTATCATTCGCCTTTGCAGTTCTTCGTTCACCGGCCCCTATCTGCCCTCATTCCCTAATCTCGAAAGGACCCGCCACGGTTAAGCCACTTAACCAATGTTCCTCATCTGAACTATTGACCAGCAAAACAAACCAAAGTGACTTATCCTCATTGCTGCTTTTGACGTCCGTACTGTCTGTCGAATTGGGAAGTTTCGGCCCTTACTGAAACTTCATTTCACTCTTCTGTTGATAATTATTGTCTCCGAAGCAATTATAGTGTGGGCTAGATTTCAAGGCGCAGTTCAACAACCAGCGAGGACGATGGCGCAAGCAGACCCTCCTTCAAACTCCGCACAGATTAAATTGTAGGATGAAACATTTTCCCATTAAACTGGTTAAACAGCAGTCGAACTCCATCAGAGGACAAAATAGCATTTTGGGAGTAGCCTATTTGGGCACCCCAACGGCAAGACCGGGTGAGGAGGCACCCCCACTGATCGAGCCTCCTATCAACTTGAAAGCAGCGGGTATCCATGATTCAGTCATCAGTCTGTGGATATACGTGGTTACTTGGAGGGGGTAAATCCTGTCAAAATCGATCTGTTCCAGTCTGGGGTGCCATTTAGGAGTAGTGGAGCATAAGCCCGCACATGACTGCTGTGTAACCGGAGCCCGAAAACTGTGGTATCAGCAGGGCAAGAGACAGTAATGAGTGGACAGTATCTTACGCAAATTTATGGATACAAGTGTAGACATTCGTTTACTACAAATGCCGAAACATCGTCTATTGATACAGATGTTGTTCTCCGTGCTTCCTTCAGAATGGTGTAAACCGGAAGTTGGACAACGCATGACTTGGTAGAAGGACAAGAAAGAAATCACGAAGAGTTTAGTTTTGGTTTAGTTCTTGGTGCGATCCGTCTTCCATGGTGGGGTCTTCTTGCACCCCACCACGTTTGAATGGGGAAGTCGCAAGAAATGGTGGCTGATCGATGCCAGTGGCATTCATGCTGTCAGTTTCTTTTCAGATTGTATGGTTGAACGCTTGGCGGTGTAGGTACCTCAGAATTCCTGTGCTAGACCAGAATCGGTTCTTCCTACCACCCATTCATTTTTAATTCCACTTCGAGGTTTTAAGTATAATTAGATAAACTTCTTTCTTTGTACGACAGTCAACACTGGTGTTGATGACTGTTGACACTGATGGTGACTGTGATCATGATGCTGTTGATTGTGTCCTAATTAGAAAGCACGCACCCCCATTACTAACAGTACTTTATTTCTTCTAACCGTTCATATGATTGTGTAATTTATTCGTTTGGGGAGGATCGCTCTCTTTCCAGGTTTGAAAAAGTGAGCAATAAAACTGAGTCTACAACGTACGTGCGCTTGGCGCTCGACAGGCTGACGGCGGATGTAAAGTGTTATCTTTCAGTGTTGGTCGCCTAAAAGTATTTGTTACTCCAAACTGTGCGTAATTTTTTCTCGAAGCGTTGAGGTCCGGACCCTCATGCACCACACAAGGCCCTCATAAATTGAGTAGTTTTGCCTCTAGGCGACAGTGTCACCCGCTATCTGCAAGCAGTCCGATAACTTGTAGTACCACAGTGATGGAAGACTAGTCTTCATCCAAATGACGTCAAACTAAACAACTGTTCAGCTTCATCAAGGAAATAGGCTCTCAGGAAATCGTTCTTGATTGCCAATATTTCCCAATCAAGGTTCTCTGTAAATACTCGAATAAGCCCATTGTTTCGGTCCGTGACTAATAACTGAGCTGTACGGGGACAAGATTATGCTTCAGAAACAAATCTGTATAAATTTCTCAAGAGTTTGATGAGGAATGAATCTGCAGAGCCAGCGGATTTTTGTACAGTATTCCTATATTCCGAAGACCTTCAGAAAACGACAGTGAACACTAACGTTGCTGCCTTTGATGATGATCAGAAAAGCAAGATGAACGCCAATCGTCGTTGAACAGAATCCTGATTTCCGTGTCCGACAGTTGTTTCGTCCATCCATATCGCCTACGAGGTTGATCGAATAAGCCATCGGAAATTCGTGTTTAGCCTGAGTTGTCAGTCAGTGTTCATTTCCTGATTACAATGTGAACCATTATGGGTCCTCTGAAATGTAGGCGTTCACAAGTTAGGTACCTGTAGTGATCGGATTAACTGTTACACTGTTTTTCTCTTTCAGGAACTCAATCGTGTGTTTCGGTGCGCCGTTTCGAATCGCACCATCAGACCTATTCTATGCTCCTTCGCTAACCTCTTGTCATACTTACCTTATCGATTTTCATGAATATACAATGCTTCCAAAAAATCTCAGTCATTGGCTCTGCGCCTTTGGTTCATCAGTTGTGCTGTACAAGTATCATTCATATGTGGGAACCGTAGTCTATGTACGTGAGATTTGGTGGGTTTCTGATTGCTATTTGTAGTGCGAGGGAATAAGCATGGAGCCAACCGTCAATCACGGGGACTATCTTGTAGTTGAACGTATTTCTGTCCTCCGTGGTCGTATAAAAAAGTGAGTTTCATACGATTATGATCATTATAGCCTTCAGGGGCGACGTTGTTGTCGCTGGTCAGCCACGCAAATCGCACAATTGTTCACATGTGCTGAAGCGCATCAAGGCTTTGGGAGAGGAGCAAGTTACTTTCTGGGACGAAGGCCACTGGCGAATGGTAACTAGAGAGGTATAGTGCATTGCTTTGTGTTTTGTCACTATTTATGCATTTTTCAGACCATCTTGTTTCCATGTCACTTTCCTGTATTTATTGTCCGCAGCTCTTTGAAACGACCAACTATCATGACTGACCAAGTCCATAAGCCCAGGCGATTCGTTGATTTAGTAGCCTGCAAATTAGGAATACGTAGTCTCCCTGAACCGATGTTTGCTAGTCCAGTAAGCATATCCTTTTTTTCCATGGGAGGAACTCATGATGAACATCGGATCACGTGGTTTGTCATACAGAAGGGCATTATCCCCCTTTGCCTAGCATAGGGAATCTCTGCCCATCGTCCTTCTGCAAGGACGTTTAACTCGTGATGTTCTTTGCAGACGCAAACGACTTTTCACTTCCATTCTTCACTGTGGTTTACCTTTCGTCACATGCTGACATTTGTTCCGCTCGGTCCATTCCACAAGCTGAATATCTTTGACAGTCTGATGTGAAACTTGGTTTGTAACAAATATGTTGCTTCTCACTGCACAGGAAACCGGAGTGATGCACATGTTGTCTATGGTGGTAAGAAGTATCTAATTATAGTGTTTCTAAATATCAGTCCTTGTTGCGCAGGATTAACCACAGGTCTACCGTCACTGACTTTTGTATTAACGACGTAAATGAACTGACGGAAAATGATCATTTCTGCACAGCGTATGAATTGAGAGAAGAGTGTGAAAAGGACTATGAAGAGTTTAGGCGTTGCTGGTGTGGTTTACCCTCCAGAATGATATCTCCGTGACCCTCTCTACGCTTGACTGGAGGCACCGCGAGAAATGGCTTCTAACCGATGTCACTGGCGCTCGTACTCTCAGTTTCTCCTCAGATTGTCTGGTTGAGTGGCTGAAGGTGTAGGCACCCTAGAGAACTTGCGACAGACCAGCACCAGGTCCTTCCTGTTGCGAGAATTGAGCGGTTCCAGGTTGAGATTATAAGGAAGGAAAGAGCGTAATATCATCATCATCATCGACAGCATGACATCAGTGTTCAACACCGATGCTTCACTGCCGTACAACCATGACCTATTTGAAAGCCTTATTGTAAAGAAAAGAATAAAGGTGGA